TTATAGCTGTCTGCCATGCACCTAGCTAATTTTTGTATTTTTAGTAGAGACGGGGTTTCACCATGTTGGCCAGGCTGATCTTGAACTCCTGACCTTGTGATCCACCTGCCTCAGCCTCCCAAAGTGCTGGGATTACAGGCGTGAGCCACCGTGCCAGCCGCACAGCATCTCTTAAAACAACAACAAACCCATTGGCCTGTCTTGTACACGAATGAGTTTTTAACCCAAGTATGACTTGATAACGTTTGGAATATAGGCTGTCATTGAGCATGCAGCATAGAGCAGTCGTCCAGCTCCTGGTAGCAGATACAAGTTTTCTAAAATTTCAGTGATCACTTTATTTTATTTGTATATTTTTTTTCCAAGACAGGGTTTCACTCTGTCACCCAGGCTAGAGTGCAGTGGTGTGATCTTGGTTCACTGCAACCTCCGCCTCCCAGGTTCAAGCACTTCTCCTGCCTTAGCCTCCCTAGTAGCTGGGATTACAAGGGTGTGCCACCATGCCTGGCTAATTTTTGTATTTTACTAGAGGTGAGGTTTTGCCATATTGGCCAGGCTGGTCTCGAACTCCTGACCTCACGCCTTGGCTTCCCAAAGTGCTGGGATTACAGGCATGAGCCATCCTGCCCAGCCAAATTATCACTTTGAAGCTCAAATTTTATCTTTGGCAGCAAATACTATCAGTTGTTTTCCTTGAAGCACAGGCTCACTTTGTTAATTTTTAAGAAGTCGTCTGCCAGATCCCCAAGTCTGAATAAGCAAAGTTTGTCTGTTTATTGTTCTTTCTGTTGATTGCTCTTTCAAGTACAAGAGACAGGCAGTGGAAAGCAGCAGAGAGACAGGGGCTCCCCCTCAAAATGAACAGGTGCCAGTGCCCCCAGACACCCCACAGCAGAGGGACTTGGGCCTCAGCAGCAGAGGGGCTTCTGGTGCACTTCTGTTCCTCCACACAGTATATCAAAGAGAAGAGTACTCAGGGGTCAAGCAGTCATCAAATTAATTGCTTGACCATTTCATCGCAGATGTCCTTAAGAGAAACTGGCATTGTTTTCCCAGTGCACCGCACTGAGGACTGCAGTGACTACGCACAGTTTGGAGCCCTGCCTTGATGCTGGGAAGATGCTGGCTCTGTCCTTTCATTGCTTTTGCAGAAACAATGCAAATGTCAATACAGCAAAAAAGGCCAAATTTCAGTAGCACTGTGACAACAGTTGTGGCCTGAAAGTGTCTTGGAGCCCCCGGGGTGTGCAGCCCACAAGCTATGGAGCAGCTGATGGAGGCCTCGGGTCACTTGGTGGTGGGGTGTAGCAGGCTGTTTATCTTGTTTGTGGCTGCCTGCATCTTTTTTTCTTTTCTTTTTTTAGAGACGGTCTCACTGTTGCCCAGGCTGGAGTGCCGTAGCGCAATCACAACTTACTGCAGCCTCAAACTCTTTGGCTTAAGTGATCCTCCCATCTCAGCCTCTGGAGTAGCTGGGACTACAGTTGTGTGCCACCACACCTGGCTAACTTTGGTATTTTTTGTTGACATAGGGATCTTGCTCTGTTGCGAAGGCTGGTCTTGAGCTCCTGGTCACAGTGAACTTCCTGCCTTGGCCTCCCAAAATGCTGGGGTTACAGGAATGAGCCACCACGCCTGCCTGCCTAAAACTTTTTTTCTTTTTTTTTAATTTTTATTTCTTTGTTTTGTTTTGTTTTGAGACAGGATCTCACTCTGTCTCCCAGGCAGTACAGCAGCATGATCTTGGCTCATGGCAACCTCTGCCTCCTGTGTTCAAGCAATTCTGCTGCCTCGGGCTCCTGAATAGCTGGGACTACAGGCGTGTGCCATCAAACTCAGCTGATTTTTGTATTTTTAGTAGAGACAGGGTTTCACCATGTTGGCCATGCTGGTCTTGAACTCCTAACCTCAAGTGATCTGCCCACCTTGGCCTCCCAAAGTTCTGGAATTACAGGCATGAGCCACTGCACCCAGCACTAAGATGCAAGATTTTTATATGAAAGAGACATTATTTGAGATAAGTATAATGCAAAAAATCCTTAATGTTTAGATTATTTTAAGCTTGATATTTGAAGGCATAGCCTATTCTGCTTAAAGTAATGACTTCAGTGGGAACCAGTCTAAGGAACTTAAAAGCCTTCAGATTATTCATTGAGAAGGCTCTCCTGGGCAACTGAGACCCTTTCTGCTTCCCGTGTATCTGCAGATTCACCTTTCTTACCTAGCTCTGGGGTCTACCGTGTCCCTGACAGTTCTTCCCTAACCCTCAGAGAGGAGAAAGGACTCCAAGCTGACTGAATTCTTATGGTGATTAGGACCACCCAGTTTGGGCTTCTTCATCCCATTCATCCCTTTATGTTCACCAGTGGAATGTGTCAACTTAGTGACACAATTGCATGGCTTGAAAAACTGAACCCAGGTGTTCTATCATTAAAGAGGACTCCAGGCCAGGCCCTGACAATTTAGAGGCCACTGAATGTGATAAAAGAACATAGGTTAGGGAGCTGCAGGACCTCTTCTCCTCTGGGACCTGCTGCTGACTTTCACCTAGGACGAGAGTTTGATGAGGGTAAACTAATGATCACTCAGTTATATTAAAAAATGACCAAAATATGGAATAAAAACTTCAATATGTTCATAAGCTTTCATATTTTATTTGAAAATTTTATTTCTAGAACTTTATCCTAAGGAATAATGTGTTGAAAGACTAATGTACACAAATGTTCACTACTGTTATGATTTATCATCTAAAAGTGAAAGCAATCTACATAACATAAGCCACCATAGAAGACTGGTAAAATATACACAGCCACAAGATGACCTAAGGTACAGCCGTTTATAATCCTATTTCTGAAAATGGCTCCATGATATCGGAAAGTGTTCAGCAGCAGTTATTAAAAAGTGGATGGTAAACTCATATGCTGAATGTAATCCCAGTTTAATTTTTCAAGATGTGTGTCCTTGTGCATGTATGTGTGTATGCATGTGTATGCGCACACGTGTGTGAGTGTGCATGGTGCAGATGTGTGTGCACACATCCAGTCTTGCCTCTGGGCTGTGTCTGCACATAAGCTGGACAAACCTCTCTGGGCACTTCTGAAGAAATGATCTTGTCAGAGAATGTTTGTCTTTGCAGAGGTTTCCTAGAGAGAGAGCACACCCTGAAGGAAGAATGGATTAGGACAATTAGGGCGATAAAGTGACTTGCTGGCATTCCCTCAGCTGCCTGGGGGAAGGTCCATGCTGAATAGGTGTGGTGGCCCCTCACTTGGCTCCCATCAGACGTGTGTCTGACCCCTGCAGGTTTCAGGCCTAACCAAGTGCAGAGCTCTAGAAAGCAATGGGCAGCTTGTGACCTCTTTTGATGGCAGGGCTGAGAGCCTCCATCAGCAAGGGGAGGCTGAGCATGGTGGCTCATTCCTGTAATCCTAGCAGTTTGGGAGGTGAAGGCAGGAAGATTGCTTGAGGCCATGAGTTCACGACCAATCTGGCAACATAATGAGACCTAAAAAAATTTAAAAAATTAAAAATTGGCGGGGCGCGGTGGCTCATGCCTGTAATCCCAGCACTTTCGGAGACCGAGGCGGTTGTATTACAAGGTCAGGAGTTCAAGACCAGCCTGGCCAACATGGCCATCTCTACTAAAAATACAAAAATTAGCCAGGCGTGGTAGCAGGTACCTGTAATCCCAGCTACTAGGGAGACTGAGGCAGGACAGTCACTTGAACGCGGGAGGCAGAGGTTGCAGTGAGCCAAGATCGCGCCACTGCACTGCAGCCTGGGCGATAGAGCAAGACTCCATCTCAAAAAAATTAATTAATTTAAAAAAATTCAGGTGTGGTGGCACATACCTATAGTCCCAGCCACTGGAGGTGGGGCAAGGGGAGGCTGAGGTAGGAGGTTCATTTGAGCCTGGGAGGTTGAGGCTGCAGTGACCCTGATGGCAGCACTGCATTCCTGCCTGCTGGGTGATAAATGAGACCCTGTCTCAGACAAACAAAAACCAAGGAGAAAGGCCTCAGGGCCAGGGAAGGAGCGGTGTTGTCCTGCAAGGGACACTCCTGGGATGCCCAAGGAGACTGGGGGCCTTGGAAGGGCTGGGAGCCTCCATCAGCAGGTGGTGCTGAGAGCTGTGACATTCGGGCCATCGCTGTTCTTGCATTATTATACGGTCCTCCTAGCCAGGCGCGGCTTGGGGAAATGTGAGGTTTGTGTGGTGGCAAGGGGGAGAATGCACGCAGAATGTTGACAGCAGTGATCCTTGGAGAGTGGAATTGTAGATTGTTTAAAATGTCTTTATAAGCCGGGTGCGGTGGTGCACGCCTGTAATCCCAACATTTTGGGAGGCCTAGGCGGGTCAGGAGTTCGAGACCAGCCTGGCCAACATGGTGAAACTCCGTCTCTACTTTTTCTTTTCTGTTTTGTAAAAATACAAAAACAAAACAAAACAAAAACCTAGCCGGGCGTGGTGGCTGGTGCCTGTAATCCCAGCTATTCAGGAGGCTGAGGCAGAAGAATCGCTTGAACCCAGGAGGCAGAGGTTGCAGTGAGCCAAGATTGTGCCAGTGCACTCCAGCCTGGGCAACAGAGGGAGACTCCGTCTCAAAACATAATTAATAAAATAAAATGTCCATACTTTTTCAAAATTTTGAACACATTTTTTATAATCAGAAAAGAAGTGTGGCTGCTTCAGCCATAGACCATTAGAAGTGGGAACAAAGTAGTGCATCCTCAGTTGCCCGAGAGTAGGGGGGAGCAGAGCGCGCTCTGGGGGCGCGGAGGCAGGTGTGTGTTTCTGTTAAACACCGTGGGGTAGCCAGGTGCCGAGGCGTGCGGGTGCGGAGCGGGCGGCCCGGGAGGGCTCGCGGGACTCCTCGGATTTGTCCGACAAGCCTTTCATTAAAGCGAAGAGACTAGGTCTGGCTGCGGCTTTTGCCTCCCCATTACCCCTGCGGCCCCGGCCCCGGGCCTGCTCACCGCCGCCTGTGCTCTCCCCGCAGCCACCCGTGGGACACCGTCATCCAGGCGGCCATGCGCAAGTACCCGAACCCGATGAACCCCAGCGTGCTGGGCGTGGACGTGCTGCAGCGCCGCGTGGACTGCCGCGGCCGCCTGCACAGCCTGCGCCTGCTCAGCACCGAGTGGGGGCTGCCTGGCCTCGTGAGAGCGGTGAGCGGGGCTGGGGCTGCGGCTCCCAACGCGCCTGACCCCCCCACTTCCGCCCCCGCCCCCTCCCGCGTCCCTCCCGCGTCCCTCCTCCCCTGCCCTCTCCCGCGTCCCTCCTCCCCTTGTCCCGCCCTCGGCTGTTCAGGCTGCCACCGGGTTGGGAGGGCGGCGAGGGGTCTTCCCTGAGATTAGAGGGCTCGGGGTAGGGGGGCGGTGGAGGGTTTTCCCGGGGATCGGAGGGCGCGGCGGGGTTGGGGGTCGGTAGGGTTGTCTTCCCCGAGATCGGGGAGCCGGTGGGGGGGGGTCTTTCCCGAGATCAAGAGGGCGCGGGGTTGGGGGGAGTGGTGGGAGGCCTTCCCCGAGATCAGGATGCTCGGGGTGGGGGAGGCGGTAGAGGGATCTTCCCCGAGATCAGGGGGTGGGAGGGTGGCGGGGGGGTGGTTTCCCGACATCAGGGAGCACGGGGTCGGGGGGTAGTGGGGGGTCTTCCCCGAGATGGAGGGGGTGGGCACAGGAGGCTCTGCCCCGCGCCGCCTGGCATCTGGCATCCCCATCTGCTCTGCCACCGGGCCCCGGGCATGCTGGATTAGCACCGCCACACACCCTCCTCCCGGCTTAATCGCCTCTAAATCCCACTGTCCCCAGCCAGACGCTTCCTGGTGCCCCCACAGGAAGGGGGTTAGGCTTCAACCTGTTTCAGCCCCCACAGACTCTTCCTCAGAGCCAGGGAGGTCACTGGAAATGGGAATCTGGGCACCGCTCGCCCAACCCCGGCGCCACGAGCTCACCTCCTCCTGCGGTCCAAGCCCTGGCCCCTGCGCAGGCCCCTTGGTTAGCCCAGCTCCTGCTGCAGGGCCTGCACTTGCCGACCCCGGCCCAACGCCCCACCCCAGCACTCTGGTGGCACCTTCCTCCTTGGGGCTCTGCCCAGACCTTACCCAGCAGAGGGGCCTCCGGGCTCCACTGCCCGCAGCCTGTTTTATTTTGCCGGGAGGATAGTGCTTCCCCGCGCTCCACTCTGAGGAATTCATTTCTTTGCTCAGTGGCTCACTTGCTGGAGCAGAAGTGCCCTGGACACAGGGATTTTGTCGCTGTCCCTGGCTGCATCCCATGCTACCATTTATTGAATAGCGAATTAATTAGTAAATACAATGGTGTTCGGTGGTGATCTGAAGTAGAATATTTAACGTTCCACTATGCTAGTTTTGCTTTGTGTTTTAGATTTTGGGAACCAGTAGGACTTTGACATACATCCAAGAACATTCTGTGGTGGATCCAGTGGAAAAGAAAATGGAACTTTGTTCCACCAATGTAAGCAATGGCCTCAGATGAGAGGGGACTCTGCGTCTGGGGGATGGTGGCAGGGCCTTTGTTTAATTCTATTTCCAGCACATCTTTGTCTCGGTGGTGCTTATGTTTAATAGAAAGGCTGAATTCATTTAGCAGTTTATCTTTTTATTCAAGTATAAGTATATAGAAAAATGCACACAATGATGAGTTGTCACAAAGTGAACACACCTCTTAACTAGCAGGCAGGTCAAGCAACAGAATTTGACCAGCCTCTGAGACCCCTTGGGTACCTCCCACAAGATAACCACCGTTGCGACAACCAGCAGGCTGTTTTGTTTTTCTAAAGATTGGGTCTTGCTCTGTCACCCAGGCTGGAGCGCAGTGGTGTGGTCATAGCTCAGTGCAGCCTCGAACTCCTGAGCTCAGGTGATCCTCCCATCTCAGCCTCCCAAATAGCTGGGACCACAGTCACGTGGCACCACACCTGGCTATTTTTTAAATATTTTGTAGAGACAAGGTGTCGGTATGTTGCCCAGGCTGGTCTCAACCTCCTGGTCTCAAGTGATGCCTTCCAATGTGCTTTTGCCTTTTCTTTCTTTCTTTTTTTTTTTTTTTTTGAGACAGAGTCAGTCTCTCTCTCTCTCTCTCTCTCTCTCTCTCTCTCTCTCTCACCCAGGCTGGAGTGCAGTGGATCTCAGCTCCCTGCAAACTCAACCTCCTGGGTTCAAGTGATTCTCCTGACTCAGCCTCCCAAGCAGGTGGGACTACAGGTGTGCACCACCAACAGGCATTTTTAAAGCTATTTTCCCCCTTCACTCCTCCGTCACTTCTGTCAATTAAAAAAAGTATGGGCCGAGCTTGGTGTCTCACGATTGTAATCCCAGCATTTTGGGAGGCTGAGGCTGGCAGATCACGAGGTCAGGAGTTTGAGACCAGCCTGGCCAGCATGGTGAAACCCCATCTCCACTAAAAATGTAAAAATTAGCCAGGTGTGCTGGCAGGTACCTGTAGTCCCAGCTACTTGGGAGGCTGAGGCAGAGGAATTGCTTGAACCCAGGAGGCTGAGGTTGCAGTGAGCTGAGACCATGCCATTGCTCTCCAGCCTGGGTGACAGAGTGAGACTCAAAAAAAAAAAAAAAATAGTAGTATATTGGCCTAATGCAAATTCAAAGAACATGTTGGGGAGAATATGCATGGACTAGGAAAATTATTTATTTCATAAAATAATCCTTATTTTCAGCAAATAGAGAAATGGGGTATGGTGGCTGAAGTCAGTGGTGCCCTCATCTGGCCTCCCTTTTCTGTCTCCAGTGCCACGGTTGGCTGTAGCCACCACTTATTTACTGGTTCTGCCAACAGCATCAGGAGCCTGCCAGGCACCCAGCACAGTGCTAGGCATGGGGAATGCAAGGATTAAAAGAGATGCCCTCCTGACTGGCTCTAAACAACACGGTGGGCATCTAAACAACTTGTGTAGGTGGCAGCAGGCAGGAGCCCCTCCAAGTGGCTGCGTGAATGTAGGTGACAGGGAGGCTGGCAGGTCTTCTCCAGACACACTGGCAGTGGGTGCCCTTGAGCCTTAGAGAGCCACAAACAGGTGGGCTGGAGACTAAGAGGGGAAGGTGTGTGGAAGGAAGGAGGCTGGAGAGGGGCAGGGACAACACCACAGAAGGCGGAGGAGCTGGAGGCCGCTTTTGTGGTAAGAGGAAGCCACCGAGCGTTTGTTGCCGGAAGGCGAGGTAGCCAGGTTGTGTGCTGGGAAGAATACCCTGGCAGCCTTGTGGAGAGAGGGTGGGGAGATGTTGGGACCTGAGCCAGGGAGGCCGGTAGTCTGGGCAGGTAATTGTCCAGGCGAGAGGTACCAGAGGCTGCCTAGGGTGAGACTGGGGAGTGAGGAATGGGAGGCCCATGGTGCAGCTCCTCTCTCTGGTCAGGGCCCTGGTAGGGCCCATCAGGTCTGGAAATTGAGAGGTAAGCCTGCTTTGCACATCCTGAGTATGCAGCCCTTTCCCAAAGGGCCATGGAGTGTCTGGCCTGAAGCTGAAGGTGCGGCCAGCGGTGCTGCGGTGAGGGAGGGGTGACCTGGGCCCAGGGGCAGGCAGGGCTGCTGGGCACAGTGGGTAGGGACACAGTTGAGGAGCAGGTCATTCAGGCAGCCATGCGCCAGTACCCAAACCGGTACCTGGGCAGCTCCCCATCTTCTCAGCATCTTGTGGGAGGCCCTGTGTTTGAAACAAAGTGGAGCCGCTCTGGGTCCTGTGGTTCCCCTTCCCCACCCTGAGGCCTCGGGAGCTCCTGTGAGCTTCCCAGGTGGCCGTGGGAACAGCCTCAGGGACGCTCAGTGCTGCTGGCCAGCTACACTCTGCCCAGCTAGGAGCACCTTCTGTAGAAAGCAGTGAGTGCATCCCTGTGTGCTGACATGAGACTAAGCCACCTGCAGGGTAGAGCCTAGCTCCTTAATGAACTACCTGGACCTCTGCCAATGTCCCCTGGCCTATTGGCCCCTTGTCCCAGGCTGCACGAAGTCACAGGAGCCTGTCTGGGTCCCCTGTCGCTATCCTGACAACTTATGTATTCTGTTCTCTCTGCACCCAAAACCAATATTTACTTATGAAATTCCACTTTATCCTTCCAGAAAACTCAGTTGTATGTAAAAAGGAACAGGTTATGCTCCAGTGAGGTCTGATGGAAAGGAAATGGGGTTTGGAGCAAGACAGACGTGTGCTTGCATCCTGAAGCCACCGCTGGATGGCCCGACGACTTGGGGATGCTGTTTACATTTTCTCAGTCTCACATTTCTTGTATAAAAATGAAAAGAACAAACCTCAGAGAAGTCAGGTTTATGAAACACAGTGACTTGCATAAAATATTGCACATAAAATGACAACTAATCAGTTTCATTTTTAATTGATATTGTTAAATATTTCTGTTCAATGTAATGACCATACATATGAAACTCTTAATAACTCGGCACTCAGCAGGTGGAGAGAGATTTCCTACTAACCATTTGCATTGGGACAGTGAGGCAGGTGTGAGGGGGGCAGATTCAGTGAGAGATTACTGATAAAATCAGTGTTTATCACTACAGAAAGGTTAATTTGCTTTTCACTGCTTCAGCTTTTTAAAACATGGTCTTTTATAATTGGCCCTTTGAGAAGAGGGTGAATTGGGTTAAATAATGAAGCAATTCTAGAGCTCATTGTCCAGTGTGGCAGCTGCCAACAACCCGTGGCTATTTAATTGTAAACTAATTATGGCTGGGTGCAGTGGCCCATGCCTGTAATCCCAGCACTTTGGGAGGCCGAGGCGGGCAGATCACCTGAGGTCAGAAGTTCAAGACCAGGCTGGCCAACATGGTGAAACCTTGTCTCTACTAAAAATACAAAAATTAGCTGGGCGTAGTGGCGGACACCTGTAATCCCAGCTACTCGGGAGACTGAGGCAGGAGAGTTGCTTGAACCCAGAAGGCAGAGGTTGCAGTGAGCAAGATCACATCATTGCACTCTAGCCTGGGCAATAAGAGTGAAACTCCATCTCAAAAAAAAAAAAAAAAAACCTAATTCTGATAAAATAAAATTAACAATTTCATTCCTCAGTCATATGAGCCACACTTCAGGTGTGCATTAGCAGCATGTGTTTGTGGCTACCCCATCAGACAGCATGCATAGGACATTGCTGTTACCACAGAAAATTCTGTTAGATAGTGTGGCTCTAGAACTCCAGTGTTTAAATAGATAGAAAATATAGGCAAAATATATATTTTGATAGAAAAATAGTGGCTCACACCTGTAGTCTCAGCACTTTGGGAGGCCAAGGTAGGAGGACTGCTTGAGCTCAGGAGTTTGATACCAGCCTGGGCAGCATGGCAATATCCATCTCTACAAAAAGTTTAAAAATTAGCCAGGTGTGGTGGTGCACACCTGTAGACCTAGCTACTCAGGAGGCAGAGGTGGGAGGATCACTTGAGACCTGGAGATTGAGACTGCAGTGAGCCCTGATCCAGCCTGGGCAACAGAACAAGACTCTGTCTCAAAAAAAAAAAAAAAAAAAGAGGCAGAGCACAGTGGCTCACTCCTGTAATCACAGCACTTTGGGAGGTCGAGGCGGGCAGATCACAAGGTCAGGAGATCGACACCATCCTGGCCAACATGATGAAACCCCATCTCTACTAAAATACAAAAAAAATTTAGCCAGGTATGATGGCGCACCTGTAGTCCCAGCTACTCAAGAGGCTGAAGCAAGGGAATCACTTGAACCCGGGAGGCAGAGATTGCAGTGAGCTGAGATCATACCACTGCACTCCAGCCTGGTGACAGAGTGAAACTCCATCTCAAAAAATAATAAAAATAAAATAAAATAAAAAATAAAAATAATTTCAGAGAAAGAAAATATAAATACGTACATAAGGAGTCGGGCTGTTTACAGGAAGTGGTACTGGAGGAGACAAGAACCCTGCAGTCTCCATGTAGATTCAGAGTCTGTCCTATCCAGTCCTAGGAGACAGTGTTCTGTGGGCTGCCATGGGTAGGTGAAAAGCTTCCTCTCACTTGCGCGGACACACAGGATTATTTGTCCTTTTCTGTAATACAACTGCTCATAGTTTTGGCAGCTTGACTCTACCTTCAAGGCCACAGCCCTGCTCACGTGTGGAGTGGGACAGATGACAGTTGCCAGAAGGAAGAGCAAAGCCATAGTTTCCTAGGACTTAATGTGGTGGCATCTCCAATGCCTAAATGCTTCTTCTGTTCTGGCCCCACTAAATACTAATTTTGGGATGGAAGAGTACGGCAGATGGTTTGGGAAGCAATGCAAGAGAAATACAATCTAAACCTTTTTTTCTTTTTTTAAGATCACACTCACAAATTTGGTGTCAGTTAATGAGAGGTTGGTGTACATACCTCATCCAGAGAACCCAGAAATGTGAGTAATCTCCTGTGGGATTGACACATTGAATGCCAAGGGTGAGGGCAGGGTAGACCCTCCTCTCTCTCAGGGCTGGTCACCCCTTTTCTTGCTCTTTCGCAGGACCATGCTCACACAAGAAGCCATCATCACTGTGAAGGGGATTAGCCTCGGTAGTTATTTGGAAAGTTTAATGGCCAACACAATATCATCCAACGCAAAGAAGGTATGTATCTCAGTCCTAGGAGTCATGTGTGCTCTATTGGTAAGTGCCAGATTAAGAAGATTACATTTTTAGTCTCATAAATCTTCCTGGCTGGGCACGGTGGCCCATGTCTGTAATCCCAGCACTTTGAGAGTCCAAGACAGGTGGACTGCTTGAGGCCAGGAGTCCAAGACCAGCCTGGCCAACATGCCGAAACCCCATCTCTACTAAAAATACAAAAATTAGCCAGGTATGGTGGTGCACGCATGTAGTCCCAGCTACTCAGGAGGCCGAGACATGAGAATGAATCTCTTGAAACCAGGAGGTGGGGGTTGCAGTGAGCTGAGCCACCACTGTACTCCAGCCTGGGTCACAGAGCGAGATTCTGTCTCAAAAAATAAATAAAATAAATAAATAAACAAATAAAATCCTCCTGAGTGCTACGGATGTCCATCTGTGCTGAGCTCATAATGCCATAGTATTGCAAAACTAGGGTAGGGAAAGGCTGACCCAGGTCTGAGGGAAGTATGTCTGTAAAAGCCAAGGGAGCCACAAAGTTTCTCTTCGCAGTAGGGAATATATGGGGTAAACCCGGGGCATAAACCCAGCCAAGGCAACTACCACTTCAAAAAGCCCAAATGTCATAGGCTCAGTTACCAAAGCAAATTAACCCACGACATCAGGAATATAAGGTGTTAACAGTGCCAGGTAGGCTATTCAGGACTGATAGTAGTTTCCTATTTAATGGGCATTAAGTGGCTTTGGCTGAATCTCTCCAGCAGTGATGCTTCCATGGAGTCTGCTATGGTCTTCACATCTCTTCCCTGGCAGGATTTGGCAGTGAGCTTTGTGGCAGTCAGAGGAGAAATGGTGGATCCCAGGAGGCCGTCTATGGCCCTCCCTTTGTGTCCAGGGCACTGGAGTGAAGGCAGAAATTGTTCTAGGAGTCCATGTTGCCCTCCTTTCCAGCGGAGTTGATGGAAAGAGCTTGAGTGTTCGGGAGGAAGCAGTTCCTCACTTTTTTTTTTTTAGAAGAAGAAGAAAAAGAGAAAGAAAGAAAGAGAAAGAGTAAAAAAAAAAAAAAAAAGAAAAACAAAGAATGAAGGAGAGGAAGAATGAGGAAGAGGGAGAGAGAACAGGGGTGTTGCTTTATTGCCCGGGCTAGAATGCTGTCTAGAAATGGGTATGCCTGTAATTGTGTTTAATAATAGGGACATGAAAAATAAATAAATAAAATGAGGGAAGAAAATAACTAACAAGATTTCATTTAAACCTGTAAATACGTGTGATGTGGTACTGATAAGAGTGTATATTTTGTGTATTTAAAGTATCTGAGTTCAAGTCCTGGATATCGATGTTAACTTTCTGTCTCATTGATCCATCTAATATTGATGTTGAAGTCTCCCAATATTACTGTGTGGGGGCCTAAGTCTCTTTATGCGTCTTATATATCTGGGTATTCCTGTATTGGGTGCGTATATATTTAGGATCTTTAGCTCTTCTTGTTACATTGATCCTTTTATCATTATGTAATATCCTTCTTTTGATCTTTGTTGCTTTAAAGTCTGTTTTATCAGCAAAAATTGCAACTCCTGCTTTCTATTTATTTATTTATTTTTGCTCTCCATTTGGTTGGTAAATTTTTCTCCATCCCTTTGTTTTGAGTCTTTGTGTATCCTTGCATGTGAGATGGGTCTGGATGTAGCATACCAATGGGTCTTGGCTTTTTTTGCCTGTCTGTGTCTTTGGATTGGGGGATTTCGTCGATTTAAATTTAGAATTAATAATAATATATGTGAGTTTTATACTGCTATTTAATGTTAGCTGGCTGTTTTGCCCATTAGTTAATGCAAGTACTTAATTATGTTGATGTTCTTTATTTTTTGGTATTTTTTAGAAAGGCTGATACTGGTTGTTCCTTTCTATGTGTAGTGCTTCTTTCAGAAGCTCTTGTAAAGCAGGCCTGGTGGTGATGAAATCTCTGAGTACTTGCTTGTTCACAAAAGATTTTACTTTTCCTTCACTTATGAAGCTTAGTTTGGCTGGATGTAAAATTCTGGGTTGAAAGTTCTTTTCTTTAAGGATGTTGAATATTGGCCCCCACTCTCCTCTGGCTTGCAGGGTTTCTGCTGAGAGATCTGCTGTGAGTCTGATGGGCTTCCCTTTATGGGTAACCTAACCTTTCTCTCTGGCTGCCCTCAGTATTTTCTCTTTCATTTCAACCCTGGTGAATCTGGCGATTATGTGCCTTGAGGTTGGTCTTCTTGAGGAATATCTTTGTGGTGTTCTGTGTATTACCTGGAGTTGAATATTGTCCTGCCTTGCTAGGTTGGGAAAGTTTTCCTGAATAATATCCTGAAGCGTATTTTCCAGCTTGGATTCATTCTCTTCGTCACATTCAGGTACACCTATCAAATGTAGATTAGGTCTTTTCACATAGTCCCATATTTCGTGAAGACTTTTCTCGTTCCTTTTTATCCTTTTTTCTCTAATCTTGTCTTCTCGTTTTATTTCGTTAAGTTGGTCTTCGACCTCTGATATCCTTTCTTCTGCTTGATCAATTCGGCTGTTAAAACTTGTGCATACTTCGTGAAGTTCTCGTGTTGTGTTTTTCAGCTCCATTAATTCAGTTATATTCCTCTCTAAATTGTGTATTATTGTAAACATTTTGTCAAACTTTTTTTCAAAGTTCTTAGTTTCTTTGCATTGAGTTAGAACAAGTTCTTTTAATTCCCAGAAGTTTCTTATCATCCACCTTTTGAAGCCTGCTTCTGCTAATGGAACACAGTCTTTCTCCATCAGGCCTTGTTCTGTTGCTGATGAGGAACTGTGATCCCCTGTAGAGGGAGAGGCGTTCTGATTTTGGGTATTGTCAGCCTTTTTAGGCTGGTTTCTTCCCTTCGTTATAGATTTATTCATCTGTGGTCTTTATAATTACTGTCTTTATAACTGGGTTTCTGAATGGACGTCCAACTTGTTGATTCCCGGCGCTAAAATCTGAGCAACCCACTGCGCCGGCCAAAACAGCGGCGTTCTGATTGATGGTGCTTTTCTGACTCTGCACCGAGAGCCGCCGCTCCAAGGCAGCGGCAAAACTGCCTCGCCGGCCACAAGAGTCGCGCTGGCGACCCGTGGGGCTCCTCCGCTGGGAATCTCCTGGTGCGTGAGCAACAAAAATTGATCTGAAAGTGTGGCGTCCTCTCGTTCTCTGCGCTTTCGGTGGGAGCTACAATCCTGAGCTGCTAGTGATCGGTCACCTTGGATCTCTCTCCTGTTCCTCACATTTAAATCATACCACTTGCCAGAGCAGGGCCTTTGCTTTTCACCTGGGCTTGCTTCACAGGCTCATGCCTTCCCTTTGTCTGTCCCCCATACCCCTCACTCTTCCCTCCCTCCTTCTCTTTCTTCCTTTTTAGAGGTCAGAGGTGAGTCTTCATTGTCAGGATCAGTGGGTGATTCCTAAGGCTGCACTTCCCTTTCCAGTGTCCTTCCATGCTTAACTCTCCAACTAGCGGAAAACCATTTATGGCTTGCATTTAGTCTCATCACCAGTAGAAGAACCTGTCTGTCCAATATTGTAGAAGAATCCGGTTTTGAGAAATAGGTATTTGAGCAGCTTAACTCAGTTCAGAGGAGGTAGGGCAGCAAAGGCCAATGGGGAGAGCTTTGTCCATGCTGGAGGAAGGAGACCAGATCTCACCCATCCTGGTTTCCAATGCTTGGCTTAGGTCAGGAGCCCTAAATGTTTGTGGAAGAAAATATTATAAGAGGAAGGGAATATTCAATGAGGCCACAGCTATCTTGGGCCTTTTAAGTGAAAAAATTGGGGTAAACTCAGTGAGGTCAAATTGGCTTTCCTTTATTTCACTTAATTAGGGGTTGTGTTGAAAACTTAAGGGAGAATCACTGCATCCTTTAGCAAGGTGGGGAGAGGTGTTGTGCCTGGAAACAGTGCGGCAGCCTGAGGGCAGGTGCAGGGGATGGGGTTGGGGGTTCGTGGAGGTGTCACCCTGGGCTTTCCTAGCCTCCTGGGGCAGCCTCAGCGCTGAAATTCGGGAGGCGAGGGACAGGACTTGCTGTACTGTGCTAAAAGGGGTGCCAAGGCTGGGAGAGCCACGCTGGGTGCTGGTTTGCTAACACAGTAGTGACTCTTAGGCACTGTTTTCCTTCCCTCTTCTGAGCTGGAGGAACTGCCTGCCTGTGTGGAGGTCACTCGGAAAGGTCCCTGCTGTGTCTCCTTGAGGCTGCAGCGCTTTCCCTCCGCAGTTTAGCCCATGGGCTTGTCGCTTGCTGTCTGCAGCTGGAGGCGGGATGACCCAGTCGGTGCTGATATCTTTCTGTGTTGCAGGGGTGGGCCGCCATCGAGTGGATAATTGAACACTCTGAAAGTGCTGTGAGCTAAGGAGGCCTGCGCCTGCGCTTGTCATAAATGGCGGTGAGTACAGTATTCACTCACAGAGGGGCCTTTTAGCCTCTTGTGACCCGCGTGCATGGTGTGCACTGCGAGGGGACTCTGGAAATGCGCAGCTGCTGGCGGCTCTCCAGCCCGGAGCTCCTTAGTCTTCCGCGGTGACACAGAATCACTGGGTTCATCCTCTTTCTTTTTCATTCCTTGCTTCGTGGCAGGATTTAGATTTCGAGGAAGCTTGAGCTGCGGCCCTCTGGGTCGGACGGAGGCAGCTGAGCCTCTCCAGCAAGCCGCCCTCTGGTTCAGTTGCCGAGGCGACCGCGGTGACTGCGCAGAGTCTGCGCGAGTGGCCAGGCCTGTGCCGACGGGGCGCTGCCCTTTGGGTGCATCCGCATCTGCTGCTGTGAGCAAGGTCCTGTACCCACCTCTTTGCTTGCTCCAAGCCAGTGCACGGCCATTCCCTTTTAGCGGTGGAAGCCTTTTCGGATGTTTCCTTGAGTTTCACAAACGTTCCCTGGCTTCCTGGGCCGCCAGCGACTGGACTTCGAGTGGCCCTGCCCCGACGGTGAGCGGTCACCCCGCTCCCAGGGGAGGATGCGCCACCCGCCGGCGGCTTGGGCCCACGGCCGCGCTGCACTGCTCTGGGCCGCTCGTCCCCTTCTTTCCCGATCTGTTTCTGACGTGTGTGGCTCCGGGCGTCCGGAAGTTCTTAAGAACTTCGTGCTGATTTTTTCCGAGTCACTGAAGCCGCGCTTTGCTCTCCTTGAACTCAAGCTGGGGTGGTCATGGGCCTTGCCTCCTTCATGGCCGCACCCTGAGTTCAGCGCACGTAGGACCCTCGCCTGGCGTCTTATGTCTGTGTGCTGTGTGCTGTGTGCGGTGTGTGTGTTGTGTGGTGTGTGTGTGGTATGTAGTGTGTGGTGTGAGTGTGCTGTGTGTGGCGTGTGTTGTATGCTGTGTGTATATATGTGTGGTGTGTGTGGTGTATATGCCCTGTGTGTGAGGTGTATATGTGTGTATGGAGTGTCTGTGATGTGTATATGTGTGTGCTATGTGTATATGTGTGTGGTATGTGGGGTGTGTGTGGTGTGTATATGTGTGGGAGGTGTGTGTGTGTTCTGTATGTGATGTGTATATGCATGTGGTATGTCATGTGTGCATGTGTGTATGATGTACATCTGTGTGATTTGTGTACTGTGTGTGGTGTGAATGTGTGTGTAGTGTGTGTGCTCTGTGTAATGTGTATATGTGTGTGTGATGTGTATGTGTGTGGTGTGTGCATGTGTGTGATGTGTGTATGCTGTGCATATGTGATGTGTGATGTGTACATGTGTGGTGTGTGCAAGTGTGTGAGATGTGTGAGGTGCATGTGTGTGTGATGTGTGTGCTGTGTGGTATGTGTGCATGTGTGTATGATGTGCATGGATGTGATGTGTAGTGTGATGTGTGTATGGTGCATGTGCATGTGTGTGATGTGTATGTGATGTGTATGTGTGGTGTGTGCATCTGTGTGATGTGTGTATGCTGTGCGTATATGATGTGTGATGTGTACATGTGTGGTGTGTGCATGTGTGTGAGATGTGTGAGGTGCATGTGTGTGTACTGTGTGTGATGTGTGGTATGAGTGCATGTGTGTATGATGTGCATGGATGTGATGTGTAGTGTGATGTGTGTATGGTGCATGTGCATGTGTGTAATGTGTGTGATGTGTATGTGTGTGGTGTGTGCATGTGTGTAAGATGTGCATGTGGGTGATGTGTGTGTGGTGTGTCCTGAGTGTGGTTTGTGTTGTGACTATGGTATGTAGTGCATCCTCCGCCCCTCTGCGGAGCTGACCCCTGGTGTCTCCGCAGATGCTTCCTGGAAGAAAGGAAAGAAGAAGGCGAGGAGGCCAGGAGACGATGAGCAAGTATGGGGCGAAGAGCGCGTCTGGCTGCGAGGGCCCGCAGGGCCGGGGAGGAGAACTGGGCTGGATTCCGGAATGGACTCCCCTCTCTTCTTGAGCGCGCAGCAGGGAGCAGTGCAGCCAGCCCCGCCGCCTGAGTGGATGGAGGGCACGAGGCCCTCGCCTGTGTCCCTTAGGGGTGACACCTACCGCCCTGCCTGTCGCGGTGGCCCAGGCCCTTCTCTCCCTGCAGGTGGCCCATGCCGCCCCTGGCCGCCCACACTGTCCTCCACTCGGGCCCCTCCTCAGACGGTGGCGGGTGCGCTGCCTTCTGGCATCTTCCGGTTCCCGCCCCACATCCAGTCCTCCTGCAGATCAGCAGGCAGCTCTCCTGGGCCTGCGGCTGCTCCAGGCCTCCCATCTGCTCCTGGCCTCCCGTGGGCGCTAACTGTGGGGCTGCGGCCTGGGACCGTGGCTTTCCTCTCGGCCCCCAAATGGCTTTCCTTGAGTGGCTCAGCCTCTCCAGACGAGGCTCCTCACGCGGGCAGAGGGCTGGGGTCCAGGGATCCCCGCGCCCTTTCTGCAGGATGTGCCCGGCCCCTCCAGCCTGCCCCTGCCCTGCCCTGGGGACAAGTATCTGAGGTTTGCGTCCCTGTTTTTCTCCCTGTAGTTTTGTGAGTGTTTCAGGGACAACGGCCAAAGGTCTTTTTTCCACCATCTTTAAATCCAAGTTGTTTAAAACAACATTAATTTAAAAAATAAAAAATAAAAGCAATCCATGCTTACGGTTTAAAAAGAGTTCAGGAGTCTGGAGTCCGTTGAAGGGTAAAGGCCTCCCCTGCTGCCAGTTGGCTCCTCTTTCACGAAGCTTTCCAGAAGTTTTGTGTGCTTATGAAAGTGTTCGTGTGGCCTTTCTCTTCCCTTCCTTTATTAAACACAGATAGGCTCATGCTGGATAAACCGTTTCGTGTCAGTGTTTTTTCTGCGTTTAATCAGAGTCATCTTGCAAGTTCCCTCCGAGCGTAGCTGTGCGGCGCCTGCCTCACCAGTCCGGCAGGCAGCGGGGCCCCCGGTGGGGTGCTGGTGCGCGATCTCCCCGGGACGCAGCGCCCTCGAGCTCCCGCAGCAGCTCTGTTAAGTTCCAGCAGGAATGGTCTAGAACTTGTCACCTGATGGTCTGCTCTAGACGGAAACAAGGAAACGTGGGATCTGGAAACCTCTGAAGCAGGGATGGAGAGAAAGGGTCGCACACTGGCTGGGGCACGTAGAGGTCGCTGTGTATTTTGGGGGGACGATCACATTTTTTAAGCGAGGACAGTTGTAAATGTCAGACTCCAGCCTCTTCAAATCTTTGGTGACCAAAGTGGGGTAAAAACAAGCACCTGCGTGAGTCGTGGTTGTTCTATGCCTTCCACTGCATATCTGTTTTAGGAAGTTTTCTTGAGGTGGTCAGTTCTTAAACTGAAGAAGTAGCAGTAGCTGATTTTAATTACTATACAGTTGTTTGTCTTCGTAACTTCTGTGTTGGTTGAAAATGGGTTCATTCTTTGTTTTGAAGAGGAGTCCAGCACAGTGATGGAAGGGCAAGAGCAGAGCTGGCGGATCCAGCCGCAGCCAAACGGCAGCCGGAAGCTGCCCTGCCCCACCGGCCAGAAACAGACCGAGGCGCCGACACGCTGCTTTGTCTGCGGAATGCGCATCTGCACGGAGGTGAATGTGGTCCGATAAGGCCGCAGGGAGCAGCGCAACTTTGATCGCTGGTTTGGGAAAACAGCGCAGGGCTCAGCCTGAGTGGCCCAGCAGTGCTTGGGGGGCACTGGAAGCGGCTTCCCTGGCCTGCCCGGCACTAGGAAAAAACGCCCCCTAGGGCGGCCTCCTGCTCCCATCGAAGCCCACAGGCCGTGTCTGAGGGCGCCCAGTGCTGTTTGCACGCAGGGTCCGGGGACTCTTGCCAGCAGGAACGGCAGTGCACTTGCGGCCTCTCGGCCTCGCTCTGGAGTGCAGTAGTGGTGTGCGGCCTCAGCCTCCTGAGGAGCTGGGGCCACATGTGCAGGCTATCACATCTAATTTTTTGTTTTGTTTTGTTTTGTTTTGTTTTTTAGAGATGGGGTCTCACTATGTTGCCCAGGCTGGTCTCAAACTCCTGGGCTCAAGCCATCATTGCACCTCAGCCTCCCCCAATGCTGGGACCACAGGTGTGTGTCATCGATTGGCGCCACAGCCTCTCCTAGAGGTGCCCCTGCATCTCTCATGAAAAGGCAGAAAAGGGGCTTGCTCCTCCCGCCACACTGCTGTCCTTCCCCCCATTTCTAATGAGTGCGGCTCCCATTTCCCAAACACAAAGCCCCCATTTCCCAAACACAAAGCCTGCGTCCTGGTGACGTCTTCCTCCTGCCTTTTCCCTCGGGGTCGTTTGCACACTGCACCTTCCTCCAGCATCTTGGCTGAGTTCTGGGTTTCCTCACCTCGCTCTGCTCCATGCGCATGTCCCTGGTGCTGCCACTCCGTGACCTTGCCCGCATGTCTCATGTCCGCTGCGGAGGATGGGCCACGGGGCCTGGGGGCTGTGGGGAGGCTGAGTCCGGAGATCCGTGTCGCGCCCCGCCAGCTAGCATGTGGTCACTCTGCCAGGCTTGAAGGACACTGAAGGGATCCTCAGAGGGGCCACCGCGGACGCCATCCTCCAGCCCCGGTGCAGCCCCCAGAGGCTGTGGGTCCCACTACCATCTTCACTGCCACCTCGTGAGAGGCCCAGGCCGGGATCCCCGCCAGAGCTGCCCCTGATGTCCTGACCACTGAAACCGGAGAGATGATAAATGCTCGTCACCTCCTGCGGAGTCGGGGTCCTCTGTTACTCAGGCAGTGATGGAGCGCCTCGCGCTTGTCTGCACAGTCACCTTCTGTCTAGACTCTCGCTCATGCTATCCCACTTCTTACACTGCTCCAAAAATATTCCTGTCATAAGGTCCTTTGATTAGAAAGCCAGGGAGGGTTCTCATCCCTTTTTGAAAAAAGTCAAAAGCAAGGCCAAGACACCTGCAGACGACTGATGTGGCAGGCAGTGGTGGCCCCTCCGAGCCCAACCGCAGGTCTTCTGTGGAGCTGTCCCTGGCTGGCGCCAGCCCACAACATCACAGCCCACGGTCACCCTTAACTCCTAGAGATTTATGTTGCCTTGAACTATTTTTTTTTTTTAACTATTAACATGTGTATTTGACCAGCCTAGGCTCAAAGTTCTTCCGTGCGAAGGTCAGGTCCTGAGACTTCTCTAAGGGCTTTGGTGACTGGAGAACCGCCTGGAGTCAGAGCTGCCCAAAGGCTGCCCGAGCGCAGCTGCAGCCTCAGACCTCAGCTTGATGCCAGGCTAGTGGTTTCCCCTTAAGCAAATGACTGCTTTATTATTCCCAGGTTTTGCATCTGTAAAAGAGGCTGTTAATAGCATCAGTGTGAGAGTTGGGTGTGGGAGGAGAGAATGGGAGGATGCTTGCTGTAGAGTAAGCACTGGAAAACTGGCCGTGGTCAGCCACTGAAAAGCAAAGTTTCTAAAACTATGTATTAATAATGACAAGCATAGAATAATGTCATAAAGTTTATTTTCATATTTTTCCTTATTTTATTATTGGCCAAATTCTCTTAATATGACAAATTTGAAAGTTTATTATTTACTTCAGCCTAACTGGCATATAAAATGATTAATCAAACTTTAACACACATTTTTGTTTTAATTTAAGAGGTACAAATGCAATTTTTTTGTTTTGTTTTGTTTTGAGACAGAGTCTCCCTCTGTCATTCAGGCTGGAGGGCAGTGGCACAATCTCGGCTCACTGCAACCTCTGCCTCCCAGGTTCAAGTGATTCTCCTGTCTCAGCCTCCCAAGTAGCTGGGACTACAGGTGTGTGCCACCATGCCCAGCTAATTTTTATACTTTTAGTAGAGATGAAGTTTCACCATGTTGGCCAGGCTGGTCTCGAACTCCTGACCTCAGGTGATCTGCCTGGCCTTGGCCTCCCAAAGGGCTGGTATTACAGGCGTCAGCCACCATACCTGACCAAATGCAGTTTTGATACATGGATCTATCGCATAGTAGTGGAGTCTAGGCTTTTAGTGTACCCATCACCATACATTATAATGTATAACGTATAGTGTACATTATACATTAAGTAATTTCTCATGCCTCACCTTTCTCCCACCCTCGGAGTCTTCCATCGGGCATATGTTCTTTAGCCACTAATCCATTGATGTACATTCAGGTTATGTCTCTGCCATTGTAAATAGTGCTGCAATAAACAAAATTGCAGGTATTTTTTGATATGATGATTTCTTTTCCTTTGGGTAGATACCTAGAAGTGGGATTGCTGGATCAAAAATTAGCTGAGTATGCTGATGTATGCCTATAGTCCCAGCTACTCAGGAAGCTGAAGTGGAAGGATCGCCTGATCCTGGGAGTTCAAGGCTGCAGTGAGCCATGATCAAACCACTGCCCTCCAGCCTGGGCAGGACAGTGAGACCCTGTCTCAAAGAAGCAAAAACAAAAGAAGCCAAAAAGTTCCATACTGTTTTCCACAGAGGTTGTACTAATTTGCATTCCAACCAACAGTATGTAAGCATTCCCTTTTCTCCACATCATCTTTGTCAATAATTTTTTTGACTTTTCAATGATAGCCATTTTGACTAGCATGAGATGGTATCTCATTGGGGTTTTAATGTGCATTTCTCTGATGATAGTGATGTTGAACACTTTATTTTTTTGAGACCGAGCGTTGCCCTGTCACCCAGGCTGGAGTGCAGTGGTGCAATCTCTGCTCACTGCAACCTCCGCCTCCTACGTTCAAACGACTCTCCTGTCTCAGCCTCTCAAGTAGCTGGGATTACAGGCGCCTGCCACCACGCCCAGCTATTTTTTGTATTTTTAGTAGACACAGAGTTTCACCTTGTTGGCCAGGCTGGTCTCGAACTCCTGACCTCGTGATCTGCCTGCCCTGGCCTCCCAAAGTGCTGGGATTTCAGGCATGAGCCACCATGCCTGGCTGATGCTGAGCATTTTAAAATATGCTTGTAATTAGCTGGGTGTGGAGGCACATGCCTGTAATCCCAGCTACTCAGGAGGCTGAGACAGGGGACTGCTTGAACCCAGGAGACAGAGATTGCAGTAAGCTGAGATCGCGCCACTGTACTCCAGCCTGGCGACAGAGAGAGAGAGATGGTCTCTAAATAAATAAAATAAAATAAAACATGCTTGGTGGGCTGGGTGTGGTGGCTTGGACCTGTAATCCCAGCATTCCAGGAGGTCAAGGGAAGGACATTTCTTGAGCCCAGTAGTTGAGACCAGCTTGGGCAAGGTGACAAAACCCATCTCTACTAGGAACACAAAAAATTAGCTGGGCATAGTGGTGCACCTCTGTGGTCTCAGCTACTTAGGAAGGGTAGTGGGAGTATCACCTGAGCCCAGGAAGTCAAGGCTGCAGTGAGCCGTGATTGTGTCACTGCACTCCACCCTGGGCGATGGGAGTGAGACCCTGTCTCAATAAAAAAGAAAATAAACATAAAATATGCTTTTTGGCCATTTATATGTCTTCCTTTGAAAAATGTCTATTCTCATCCTTTGCCCACATTATGGGGCTTTTCTGCTGTTATTGTTGAGTTCCTTGTGAACTCTGGACCTTAGTCCCCTGCTGGTTGCAGAGTGTGCAAATGTTTTCTCCCATTCTGCAGGTTGTCTCTCTACTGTTTCTTTCTTTTGCCATGCAATATTAAAACTTGTATGATTGCTCTTAAGAGTTAGCTACCACACTTAAAAGAGGCAAGTAGTAAAAAAATAATGAGTACAAACTCTGAACTAATAAATACACCCTTTGCATTCATGAAGCAGCTTTGATAACAAGTCTCCAGCGTCCCTGTTCTTCCCAGTTTGTTAATGGGAAAAGCCAGGTTGGGAGGCAGACTGTGTATGTCACTCCACTCATGTTCTAGTGGTGGGCAGAGCCAAGAGGAATGTGTGGCGAGTGGCATTTTTCAAGTGGGAGGTAGAAAGCCCAGACTGGTACAAGTCAACCATGCTCACAGCATGGGCTGCTGACCCGGCTTTCTCCATTCTAATGAGCTATTTTAGGGCTGCAGTAATTTGTTGACTTAAAAGACAGGGGGCTGTATGTTGCATTTACCTGCGGAAGTGTACAGTTAACTCACCGTGTCAGTTGAAGACATCTTCATGGTTCCATCTTTGTATTTATCAGTTGTTCTCACATCCATATTAAGCCTGTTCATTCATTCATTAATTCCCTCCACAATTATTCAGCATCTAAATGCCAGCAAATATTTTCAGAAGCTGGGGATATGGCAAGTGAAGCTCTCTGAAAAAGATGCCTGTGTTCATGGAACAATGTAGTAAAATGAGAGGTGGCGCAATGGAAAAAACAAGATGCAGAAGGCATAAGTAGTGGGACGTGCTGCAGGGAGGAGCTGGAAGGAAGAGGCGATGTGAGGGAGCCACTTGGCAGGGGGAGCACGCATGCTCTGCAGAGCCGCGGGGGCAGCATCAGCGAGTCAGCAATGGGAGGAAGTGGCATGAGGGCATGACTCCCAACTCTTTGACCTATTCCAAGATGGAACTTTGTAGAGAATCAGGTCTGCTATGTCCTGGACACATTTAAACAGAGCTGAGACAGCCTGTCAGGGAAGAGGTTGTGGGCAATTCCTGCCAAAGGGTGGCCATGTGTTTTATCAGCTCTAAATAAAAGCCAACCATAGAGATCAAATTTAGTGAGGAGTTCAGGCAGTGATGGAGTCTTTGGCACTGAGGGCCAGAGAGAGGAATCTCCCCACTGGGAGCTCACTAATAAACATGGGAGATGCATATCTCAGGGATACCTGCAGTGGTGCTTGCTTTTCTTGACCAAGCTGGAGAATAAGAGCTGTCTTTACTTGTGTTTCCTTTTAGTGCAACTAGTGTTTGCCACATATGCCAAGTGGACGAGAAGAGCCTGCTCTGTGCACGCACCTAACAGTCACCAGCTTCTCTCTTAATCTCCAATAGGAAGCACACACTATGCTGTGGGAACAAAAACGTCAGGTGCCTGCTATGGCCAAGGCAGAAAAGGTCTTTCCCTCTAAACAAGATCCAGAGATGAACTTCTGGTACACAGGGTGCTGCTAACACCAAACAGCTAATGTAAGAGGCTGTGTCCATTTTTAATATAGTCAACTCTCTGAGGTTTTTCTTTTTAATTTTGAGAGATGGACTCAGATTCTTTATAGCAACTAGTAAAGCTGAATTTGCCTTTGCCTCCAGTTTCGGATATATGCAGCACATTTTGCACTTTTCTTGCTTTCATGTAGTATTCATAATCAGGTTTGTCATCAACACAGAAATAATGCTTAGAAAGTATCAGTCATTTCACACTTTAGTGAAGGGCTGGCTTGGACTACGTGCTGTTTCTCGAGTCATGCTGGCTTGGGTTTCAAGTGGCTTGTTGCCTGTGTAGTACTGGTTGTTTCACACAGTATCCTGACTCTCCTAGTTGAAAGTGACCTTAGAGACCACTTAGTCTAACACTCTTGCTTTAAAATCAAAGAGACAAATTCATAAATGTTCAGGAGCTGTCCCAGTGTTAGGTAGCTGTGTTGCTGCCATGCCAGAGCAGTTTAGTTAGAGCCATTCCAGATACTTGAAAACTAGGAATTGCTGAGAAATAATCTACAGACTATTTTTTTTTTTTTTTTGGTCATCAGGACAAAAGGGGAAGAGTGCCTCCCTCTCCTGAATTCACAGACAGCCTGCCTCATTGCAGCAGCTGCGAGAGCATTCCCAGCAAGGAACCCACAATATCTGGCCCTCTTGGTGGCAACATAAATGTGAACACTGAGCTATTTCAAACATGCTGATACTTCTTCAGTTCTCAAGCCCTAAGGACATAAACTTCCAGATGCCCCACATTTCAGGAGCGCTGTCCTGTCAGTTCTGGAGCACTTGCTGTCAGCTTCCATCAGACTCCAAAGCAGCCACCAGTATCAGGAGCACAGCTGCAGAGTGCCCTGCACAGCAATGGCTAACGTATTAGACACCATGTGTATGTTAACGGGATGAGCTAAAATAGTAGTGCAAACTCAGTCTTCCACGTAGCTGCATCTGAACTTTCTCAGCTCACTGCAACCTCCACCTCCCAGTTTCAAGCAATTTTCCTGCCTCAGCCTCCTGAGTAGCTGGGACTACAGGTGTGCGCCACCATGCCCTGCTAATTTTTGTATTTATGGGTTTTCATCATGTTGTCCAGGCTGGTCTTGAACTCAAGCAGTCCTCTCACCTCGGCCTCCCAAAGTGCTGGGATTACAGGCATGAGCCACTGTGCCTGGCCCAGAGTTTTGTATTAAGCAGGTCTTACCTCTTAAACTTTTTTGGGTAGGCAAGAGAGGTTTTACACACCTTTGGCTAACAGGAGGGAAGCACCATAATCTTTATTAGCATTATAATCAATGTGTGTGTGTGTGTGTGTGTGTGTGTGTGTGTGTGCATTGTGTGGGGGTGTGAGCACATGCATTCTGCAGTGGTATCGGGAGTCTTTGAGACTTGAGTTTCTCTCTAGTTGCCTAGGCTGGAGTGCAGTGGCACAATCTCAGTTCACTGGAACCTCTGCCTGCCGGGTTCAACCGATTATCCTGCCTCAGCCTCCTAAGTAACTGGGATTACAGGTGCCCGCCACCACGTCAGGCAATTTTTTTTTTGTATTTTTAGTAGAGATGGGGTTTCATCATGCTGGCCAGGCTGGTCTCAAACTCCAGATTCATTTGCCTAAGCCTTCAAAGTGCTGGGATTACAGGCATGAGCCACCGTGCCTGGCCAGGAGTCTTTAAATAACTCATGTGTGCAATTAAGCCCTTTCCTAAAAGTAGTTTTCTTCATGAAATTGTAGACTATGATTTACAATTGTACATCCTTTCCTCAATTGGAGCTGGGAAGAAAAAAGTTAAATATGTGTTACCCAAAGCTTTTCCAACTTATGGTATCCAAATTCTGTGTCTTTCTGGAATACATGAAACACAAGTCAAAGATTGTAACTTGGACTTAGTCACTGGACATGTGGATTATGAGTTGGACACATAACACAAGTGTCTTGACATAAACATATCACAGTGGAACTTCAGGGGAAGGGGCTCCTAAGAAATGTCTAGCAACTGAGGAAACAGCTTATGTAACTGGATTAATATCAAACTCAACACCATGAAATGTGTAAGATATTCAGAGGTAAACCGTGCATTCTTAGTTAACATAAAAACACAAGAACTTTCCTCTGCTCATATTTTAGGAATATATTTGTTGAGGGATATTTCTACAAAACAATGAAGTTTGCTGCATCAACTGCATTTTCCTTTCATAAAAAATTTCTCTGTAGCATGCACTGGTGTTTGATAGCATGTTATCCACAGAATTACTTTCAAAATTTGAGTCAATCTGCTCAAACTCTGCTGCTGCTTTATCAACTAAGCATGCACTACTCCAAATCTTTTATCATTTCAACAATGTTCACAACATCTCCACTGGTAGATTTCCTCTTAAAAAAACACATTGCAGCCAGGCGCAGTGGCTCATGCCTGTAATCCCAACACTTTGGGAGGCCGAGGTGGTCGGATCACCTGAAGTTGGGAGTTTGAGACCAGCCTGACCAACAAGGTAGAGACAAATGTCTCTACTAAAAATATGAAATTAGCTGGGCGTGATGGTGCATGCCTGTAATCCCAGCTACTCAAGAGGCTGTGGCAGGAGAATTGCTTGAACCCAGGAGGCAGGGGTTGCAGTGAGCCGGGATCACACCATTGCACTCCAACCTGGGCAACAAGAGTGAAACTCCATCTCAAAACAAAAACAAACAACTCCCCCCACACACACAAAACAAAACACCACATTGCTCATTCATAAGAACCAACACCTCATTAATTTACATTTTCTCATGAGACTGCAGTAGTTCAGTCACATCCTCAGGCTCCATGTCTAATTCTACTTCTCTTGCTATTTCCACCCCATCTGCAGTTACTTCCTCTACTGAAGTCTTGGACCCTTCAAAGTGTACTTCCTCTACTGAAGTCTTGGATCTTTCAAAGTAATCCATGAATGTTGGAATGAGCTTCTTCCAAAATCCTGTTAATGTTGCATTTTGACCTCCTTCCATGAATCACCAATGTTTTTAACGGCATCTAGAATGGTGGATCCTTTCCGGAGGCTTTTCAGTGTGCTTTGCCCAGATCCATGAGGAATCACTGCCTATGACAGCTAAAGCCTTATGAAGTGTATTTCTTTTATTTTTATTTTTTATTTTTTAAATTATTATTTTTCGAAGTGTATTTCTTAAATAAAAGTAAAAATTACTCCTTGATCCATGGGCTACAGAATGATGTGTTAGCAGGCATGAAAACAATTTTACATCTTGGATGAAAACATCCTCGTACATCTCCAACAGAGCTCTTGGGTAACCAGGTGCACTGTCAATGAGCAGTAATATTTTGAAAGAAATCTTTTTTCTGAGCAGTAGGTCTCAACAGTAGGCTTAAAACATTCAGTAAACCTTGCTGTAAACAGATCTGCTGTCATCTGTCAAAGCTTTGTTAGTCATTGACAGGGTACAGGCAGAGTAGATTTAGCTTCATTCTTAAGGTCTCTAGGATTTTCCGAATGGTAAATGAGCACTGGCTTCAACTTAAGGTCATCAGCTGCATTAGTCCCCAACAAGAGCGTCAGTCTTTGAAGCCTGGAAGCCAGGTATTGGCTGTTCTCTAGCTATGAAAGTCCTACATTGCATCTTGCTTCATCTGCATTGCAAATGTGTAGTGTAGCCACCTTCTTCAAGATCATAGCTAGATCTTCTGGAGAATTTGCTGCAGCTTCTACATCAGCACTTGCTGCTTTACCTTGCACTTTTGTTATAGAGATGGCTTCTTTCCTTAAACTTCATGAACCAACCTCTGCTAGCTTTCACTTTTTCTTCTGCAGCCTCCTTACCTCTCTCAGCCTTCGAAGAACTGAAGTGAGTTAGAGCCTTGCTCTGGATTAGCTTTGGCTTAAAGAAATGTGGCTTGTTTGAACTTTATCCAGACCAGTCAAACATTATCCATATCAGGAAATAAGGCTTTTTTTTTTTTTTTTTTTTTTAAAGATGGACTCTCGCTCTGTCACCCAGAACAGAATGCAGTGGTGTGATCATAGCTCACTGCAGCCTCAAACTCCTGGGCTCAAGCAATCCTCTTGCCTTAGCCTCCTGAGGAGCTAGGACTATAGGCATGCACCACACAGCTTGCTTTCTTATCATTAGTGTTGACTGGAGTAGCACTTATAATTTCCTTCAATAACTTTTTCTTTGCATTCACAGCTTGGCTGTTTGGTGCAAAAGGTCTAGCTTGGGCTTACCTCAGCTTTTGAATGCCTGCCTCACTAAGTGATCATTTCTAGCTTTTGATTTAAAGTGAGACTTTAGACTCTTTCACTTAACACTTAGAATCCACTGTACTGTAGGGTTATTGGCCTCATTTCCATATTGTTGTATCTCAGGGAATGGAGAGTCTGAGGAGAGGGAGAGAAACAGGGTAATGGTCAGAACACACACGTTTATCCATTAAGTTTACCATCTTATATGGCATGGTTCATGGCAACCCAAAGCAATTACAATAGCTACATCAAAGATCACAGATCACCATAAAAGATACAGTAATAATGAAAAAGCTTGAAATGTTGGGAGAGTTACCAAAATGTGAAACAGACACAAAGTGCGCACAAGCTGTTGGAAAAATGTAGCCAACTGACTTGCCTGCTGCAGGATTGCCACAAACCATAAAAACTCAGGACCTGTGAAGCGCCACAAGCCACACATCATGGGGTGAGACATGCCTGTGTATGGCTGGGGCAGCAGTCACCCTTGTGGGTCCACAGCTCTTCAGATGTTTTGCACTAGGACTCAGGCATAGAGTCCCTTATGTAATTTCTATCCCCAAGCAAATAATTTAAAAATCAGTTGGAGAGTGTCAGCAGATGCTTCTAGGTTCTGTGTGGTGAGCCCCCAGGTTCCGGCATGTAGGGCTCTGGATGTCTCTGTACACAGGACGGAAACATGGTCACATGGGAATGCCAGTATCGGACTGCTTACTGAGCTATATGGGCTTTACTGCTTTATCAGTTATGCCTCCATGAATCTGTGAAAGAAAACGTCATCCATCTCCCACAGGATTTGTCTCCATATATATGACATAATAAAATGCTATATATTCTTTATATAATTTTACTCTCCTACTCATGGCTGCTTGATAACACAGCAGAGTCACTTGTGGTGGCAACATGTTAATTTTTCCAGGGCGGTTCTTGTAGACTGCATTTTTTTTTTTGACATGGAGTCTTGCTCTGTCGCCCAGGCTAGACTGTAGTGGCACGATCTCAGCTCACTGAAATCTCCACCTGCTGGGTTCAAGTGATTCTTGTGTCTCAGCCTCCCCAGTAGCTGGGATTACAGGCACACATTGCCACGCCCGGCTAATTTTTGTGTTTTTAGTAGAGATGGGATTTCACTATGTTGTCCACCATGTACAAAAATACAAAAATTAGCTGGGCGTGGTGTGCGCATGTAACCCCAGCTACTGGAGAGGCTGAGACATGAGAATCACTTGAACTCCTGACCTCATGTGATCCACCTGCCTCTCAAAGTACTGGGATTACAGGTGTGAGCCACCATGCCCGGCCTAGACTGTATTTCTTCAAAGATCAGGCTGCTGATGATAAAAGTACTCTACCTTCCCAACCGAGATGACTTCTGACAGCTAGTTACCAAAAGACTTCACCGTCTTATGATAGGAACTCAACACAGAAGGTATGATAGAAAGCCATTTTATTTTTCCCTAGATAAATTTTAAAATAGGAGACTTTAATGGAAAACATTTAGTACCATCATGTCACCCTGAATGCCAGCAATACCTCGACTTTTACACATGCAGGAAGCCAAGTAAAAGCCCCATCAGTAGTACACATTTCTCTGTGGTCCTTCAACAATTTTGCATGTACAAAATTTTCTGCTATTTTGCTTTAACAAACAGCAACATAATTTAAAACTTTTGTGTTTCCTATATAACACCTAAAATCCAGTCCTATATTAATATAGTTAGAAAAATAAAAGGCTTAAAAATTTCATAGTACAAGTTCATGGTGCTAATAACAGAATCTCTTTAAACATAAGATCATTTTAAATCTCCTACATAACCACCTTCTCATTTAATTTGAAATACTTAAGAATTAAAATCCAGTAAGATTGTTAAATTAATGTACATATCAATCATTTAATTTTCACTTGCCTTGGGAGAGTTAATTCCAACTGTTCACTGAATGAATTCCTTTCAAATATTAATAAATATATTACAGTATTTACAAGCATTCTTATGTACTC